GCAGATTTATGATGGGTTGCAATCATTCACTCATGTAGTTAATTTTCAAGAAATAACATGCACATGTAGAGTTTGGCAAAGCACTAGTGTTCCTTGCCCACATGCCTTGTGTGCCATTAATTATCAAGAGTGGAATCCAAATGACTTTATTGATGTTAGTTTAAAGAGAGAAAAGTACCTGGTAGCTTATGGCTAACCATTGGAATTTAGTAAAGGTGAGGAAGTGTGGAGGCAGTTTGATGGAGAAAAGTTGCTCCCACCTATTATAAAGAGCATGCCCGGTAGGCCAAAAAAGAATAGGAGAAAGGCAAGGTTTGAGCCTAAGAAGATTAAAAAGGGAAAGAAGACCATAATTTTAAAGAAGGGAACAATTGTGATACATTGCAAGATTTGTGGGGGAGAAGGTCATAATATGAAAGGATGTCCAGTGAAGAATAAAGAAGAATATACACAGTTTGTTAAGGAAAGTCAAGGGACAAGTACTACAACATCTAGCTTTACCAATGCTAAGAAGGTATGTAATACTTTGTTATTTATTAAATTGATGATAATTTATTATGTGACAAAAAAAAGTTTATTCATAGGGAAAAATGAAGATAAGCAATTGTGATGGAGGTCAAGGTGCAAATAGTGTTGGTAAGGTAAGTCATTAGATGTTTTGAATTAGTAGGAAAAAAATGCAAATTTTAGCTTCTTATTTATTCTAGTTCTGATTGGTAGAAATTGCAAATTCTAATTTCTTATTTATTTTGGTTCTGGTTGGTATTAAATTGATGTGGTTGGTAAAATTGCAATTGTTTTATTTTTACAGGTAAAGAGAAAGAGAGGAAATTCTGAAACAGAACAGGGGGCAAAGAATCAGTGTTGATTGGCACTATAAAAGGATGATTTTGGGCAAGATATGAAGTGATATTTTGTTAAGAAAAAATGATTATATTACATTCATATATTTTGCCTTTTATTAAGAAAGGATGATGATATTTTGTCATAGCCATATAATAGGTATTTTGTGACAGTAGGTAATATTTTTTTGTATATTTTCCTATGACAACAAGCAATGTTAACTTGTATAATTCCATATGACAGTATACAAGAGTGAGCCAATGTTAACTTGTATATTTTCCTATAACAACAAGCAATGTTCACTCGTATAATTTGTGTGTAAAGACATGTTGCCTTTCTGGTATTTACTAGTATAATTTACTGGGATAATTTATAGTACAGAAAAATGAGAAAAGTTTACTGGTATAATTTCCTGTGACAGTAGAAAAATTATAGGCTGGTTGCCTTTCTTAATTTGCTTTGGCAGTTTAAAAAATGAGACATGTTGCCTTTTAAATTGTTTCCTATGACAAATACAATTTCTTGGTATAATGTTCAGTGTTATCATTTCCATAATCATCAAAAGCAAGAGGATGTAAACAAAAGTATATTTCCATTGCCAATTTGCAAAATTCAGGGTATAATATGTTCTCATTCTATGGCAAGCAAATTTAACACTTGATTTCTTATTACAAAATTTATCATCATGGAAAATAATATTGGCAATACAGAAGAGACAACAATTACACATAGTTTGCCAAAAGCTTTCTTGTTGTCAACCTTTTTCATCAGGGCATTTGTTTTCTTGTCCAAATTGTCAATTGCCTCCAAATGCTTATCCATATCCAACAATTTTTGCTCCATGCCTCCAAACTTATACTCAAGAAACTTAAACATACTCACCATTTTTTGATCCATGCTACCAAAATTATTATGCATATCCTTCTCCAGACTTTCTATTTTCCCGCCCATAACAACCATTTTGTTCACCGAACTAACAAACTCATTTTCCAAATTTTTTTCCATAGCCACTAACTTCTTCTCCAAACTATGAATTTGATCTTGCTAGCACAACACTATACTCTTCAACTCTAATGCTATAATTGCAGATTCTGGAATACAATTATCTCTTTTGTTGAACTTAGACACCTCAGTCCATAAATGATCCCTTTCATGCATTAGATGGTACTTTTCTGATGTTAATTGTCGTATAACTTCAATTACCCTCTTATCAAACACAGGGTCATACCAAATAAAGAAGTCACAACTGTTTTGCAAAATTAATTCAATCATTTATTAGTAAATACAACCCACAACCTAAATCAAATTAAAATCAAAGTTAACAATAGTGATTACCTTTTCCTTATACTTTGGGCAACCAAAAAATCTTCTTCCGGCGTTAGCTTTCGTCCAACAAGTCCGCTATGGAGCAAAATGCCCACACTTGCAGGTTCGTGGAGGACCTTCATACTCCCACTCAATATTGCATCTATTCTCAAAATATGGTAATTTCACTAACGATTCAAAGCTTGATGAAGAAGCCATGCTTGATGCATTGCAGATCTTGTTGATAAAGAGTTCAATTTTTGAAAGTATGAAGAGGGAAAGAAGATGATTGAAGATGGAAAATGAAATAAAACCGTAATATCCTCAAACTATGGTAATTTCACAGAAGATTCAGAGTTTGACAAAGAACCCATGCTCGATGAATTGCAAATCTTGCTAAAAAAAGGTTCAATTTTTAAAAGACGAAGAGGGGAAGAAGATGATAAAAGTTGCCAAACAAAATAAAAGCCTAGATATCCTCAAAATATGGTAATTTGACAGAAGATTCAAAGCTTGACGAAGAACCCCATGCTTGATGAATTGCAGATCTTGCTAAAAAAAAGGTTCGATTTTTGAAAGGACGAAGAGGGGAAGAAGACAAAGACGATAGAAGTTGATCCCTAAATCCCTAAATCCCTAAATCCCCAATTTTATTCCCTAAACAATTTAAGGGTACAAAAGTAATTTGATTGATCTACTGATTTTGAGGTGTTTGTCTAGCTGTGCCTCCACCTCAGCATCCATCTCAACAAAAAAAGGCCACGTTAGACACAGAGGAAAGGCTGATGAGTGGACTGTTAAATGTTAATGGCAGCCTTAACAGAGGGGTTGATTTGCCACTGTAGGTGAGTTGAGGGGTTTACTTACGCGTGAAGTGAGTTGAGGGGTTGATTTACGCGTGAAGTGAGTTGAGGGGGTGATTTGCCACCAGTTGTTGAGTTTAGGGGGTGATTTGCACCTTTTGCCTTCCTTTTCCATCCTCTAGTTATATCTGGGTTTTGTTGAGGTTTGTTTTCTTATTTTCATGTTGTAGTTTTCAAATTTTGAGTAGGTAAGGAGTAGAGCAGCCGATGATGAGAAAAGAGAGCCATGAGCTGCAACAACAAATTTTAATGCGCACCGTGTTTTTAGTACACGGGTTGTTGTTGCGATGAAGAATGTGCCAATATGCTAATCTGAGAGGCTCTCTCACTTCCTAAACTTAACTTCTCCTTTCTAACATTTTTTTTTTGGGGTGCTTTCTCTTATAGCTAGCCCTCCCTGTGAGCACCCTTTTATTTAGTTATTATCCAGGCATGATTTTCATGTATATATGTATTTTTAGGCTTGGTATGGAGGGTTTTACAAAGCTCCTTTCTCCCATGTTTGTTTTCCTCAAGATTGGTTTATCAATTAATGTTTCTAAGCTTTGAAACCCGGAAGCAAACCAAAATTAAAACGAATAATCAGTGTTGCTTATGGATATCTAATTTCCAATTGATGTATTAATTGGGGTTTTTGAGATGGAGGTGAATCATAATGGAGTTTATTAATTTTTTACTAAATTCATCTCATAAATGGGCTTTTTTGTATGAGGGATTGATCTGGATCAGGATTCAGGAGGTGCTAAAAGAAAAGAAAAAAAAACCATTACCCATAGAAGTCAGCTGTCGGGGGCCCTGCGGAGTTATAACACGGCCGGAAAGCTCATAAATGCGTGTGTAAATCAATCCTTACATACCGAGTTGTTCTGTAGTCCACCGCTCATACAAAGATACGATCAGTAATGACAAAAATGCTATCTTTTATCATAATAATAACAAGAAGCTTAAAATTTTATTTTGGTTTTTTTTTTTGGTACATTTATTTTGGTTTCTTTAATTTAACAAAAAGTTTTTTTAGTCTTTGATAATTTTTATTTAGTCTTTAAAATTTATTATTCAGTTTCTTTTTAATCCTTTGTTATTTTTTGTATATGGGTTAAAATTCTAATTTGATATTTTTATTTTAGTAAAAAATCTCTTTTTAATTTTTTTATTTAAAAAAAATTTATTTCTAAAATTTGAAATCTGATCCTTTTTTTGCTTTTTTTTTTGTTAAGTTTTGAT